TGAAAAATACTAATTTAAAAAACCAATATGATCATTTAAGGCTTACTTATGTTAACAATACATTTTTCAAAATAGAAACAGAAAACTATGATAATATGATTTCATTCACTAAGTTAGCTATAGAGGAAAAAATAGAAAACTTTAACGTTCATTTTAAATTAAGTAGAAACAAAAGAGTTTTAACAAATGGGTTCGAAACAATTTTAAAAACCTTAACAGGAAATTTACATACAGATGACGGGATAGAATAAATAACATTTTAAATCATCTCCAAGGAAACCAAAATAATTTGCAAAATCAACTTAAAATGCAATGCTCTGTAAGTTACGAAATTATTAACAATTTTAACACAACCATTCACGATATTCAGCAAAATGAAATAACTTTAAAAACAAAATTTTAGAAATTAAAAATATTGTTGAATTTCAAGCGAATTTCCTATATTTAAAAGATTTGCTTAATCAGCTACTAATAATACATAATTCAATATTAAATACTATAAAGGATATTAAAAATTCACTGACATTTTGCAAATTAAGAACGTTATATCCCAGTATTATCAAATGAAAAGAATTATTCATAGAACTTACAAAAATTGCAAATTACTATAAAACTCAACTATCATTTAAACTTTTAGATTTTGAATTATTAACTAAAGTTAGTTGGAAAACAATGAAAAATCTTATCAATTTCTATCAATTTCGAAAAACAATTTTATTTAACTACAAATTACGAGTCAGAATTTGTAACAATAATTCTTAATATAAAATTTCTTTTAAAATCAAATGATAATTTTATAAAGCCTCTAAATGATATTTGTACGCCTGGTAAAATATATCAATGTTCCAATCACCTTCAGTCCAATATTAATTTATCCTGTGAAGAAGAAATCCTTATTAAGGCAAATTCAAGTAAATGCCAATGTATAAAATTAGAAATCACAGAAAGCCATATAGAAATTATTTCAGAAATTAACCAGCAAGTTATTTGCTTGTTTATGGACAATAGGTAGACTTTTTAACAATTATAATATAAATATATAAAAAAGCTTTTAGTTTTTTTGGTATTTTGCCTTTAGCCTCTTTCATATTAACTATTGTATTCTAAATTTAAATTTCAATATATTTTCCACAGTCATCCTCTTGTTTTAAATTGTACTCAATGCGAATAGTAAAGGTGGTATAATTCCTTAATTCCACACAAGCTAACTTGCTTCTGGACATCAGATATGATTTTTTAGGGGCTTATCTCACACTCACTATCCCCAACACTGTGTTATGTCACTTTGTTTGATCTCTTTTAATTGTTAAATTGTTCAAAATTACCTTCTCTTTTAACTTTTGACTTAAAAGTCTTACTCAGATTTTATTTTTACACATATTTATAGAAAGAGTTTTGCATTTAATAATTAAAATTTTTGCACAAAATACAAATCTTTCCTTTTTAATCTAAACTAGTGCACACAGCCCTCAACCTTTTTTGGTTATTTTAATATATAAAATTGTTATTTTAATTTAATAACCTCTAAATTCCTTTTTTTAAGTCATATGTTTTGAAAATAACATACGAAAGTAAGTACTCAGAAAATCTTATTACCGTAACAGAGTCAGTCTTTACAGTAATTACGGTTTGAATTAAATAATTATGCACAAAAACAAATGTAGTAGTATTCGAAAGCTAGGTCTTCCTCCACTACACCTTGTGGTGGAGAAGGAGGCTATGGCGGCGGCATACAGGCTGTTTACTAATGGATTTGGATGGGAACTTTCGAGAAAAGGACGCCACACAATGATATTAGAGAAATTAAAACAAAATCCGGTACTAAGAATGCCATCGGATAGAACGCCCATTATTCACGACTTCAGGAAACCTTTTGATATTCAAATACCAGAAAGGGCCAAAAGCCGGGGAAAAAAAGGAAAAAACAAAACGAATCAATCTGGTATACAGACGGTTCGAAAATGAAAAACAGCACAGGAGCTTGGATCTAACATGTGAACTCAGGGAGGACAATTAGTTTGAACCTGGGGTCACTGACAACAGTCTTCCAGGCTGAAGTAACAGCAATAAATGCCTGCGCCAAAGTTATGCTAAATGACTCTCTTAGAGATAAGAGAATCGTTATCATGACAGACAGTCAGGCAGCCCTTAAAGCACTAAAAAGGGTAGAAGTACAATCTAAATCAATATTTGATTGCCAACAATCCCTCCAGGCTCTAGCAGAACATAACAAGGTTACCCTTGAATGGGTGCCAGAACATGAGGGAGTATTTGGAAACTAGAAAGCAGACCTCCTAGCAAGGAAGGGAGCGGAAAAAACTCTTATTGGACCAGAACCCACGTGTGGTATCTCATACCAACATGTTAAATGGGTGTTAAAGGAACAAATAGAAAGAGAACATCATAGGCTCTGGATGGAACTTCTGGACTTAGACAGTCCAAAAGATTCATAGAGGGGCCATCCACGAGCAGACAACAACAACTGCTAAACATTAGCAGAAGCGAACTCAAGGCCGTAATAGGACTCCTTACGGGACACTGCGGCCTTAGAAGACACCTAAATCTCTAAGGGATATCTGATGACTCCCTATGCAGAATATGTGAAGAGGAGGACGAAACTCCTATTCACATACTATGCCACTGCCGGAACCTTAAATGGGAACGGAATGATACTTCGGGGTACAATATCCGGAACCTGAAGAAATCGCGAAAGCGCCCATCAGACATATTCTTAAATATATCAAGAAAATCAATTTGATGGGATAGAAACTGTGAGGGGTACAATAAGCCTAGAGCTTCAGTACAAGTGGGCTTTGAACCACGTCCTAATTTAGATGATGAGATGATGATGAAAGGTGGTATAATTTCTTAATTCCACACAAGCTAACTTGCTTCTGGACATCAGATATGATTTTTTAGGGGCTTATCTCACACTCACTATCCCCAACACTGGGTTATGTCACTTTGTTTGATCTCTTTTAATTGTTAAATTGTTCAAAATTACCTTCTCTTTTAACTTTTGACTTAAAAGTCTTACTGAGATTTTATTTTTACACATATTTATAGATTGTAAGTTTACATTCACAATTTTGTAGATAAGCACTGATGATGGCACCATGTCGAAAAAGTTTTGCATTTAATAATTAAAAATTTTGCACAAAATACAAATCTTCCCTTTATAATATAAACTAGTGCACACAGCCGTCAACCTTTTTTGGTTATTTTAATATATAAAATTGTTATTTTAATTTAATAACCTCTAAATTACTTTTTTTAAGTCGTATGTTTTGAAAATAACATACGAAAGTAAGTACTCAGAAAATTTTATTATCGTAACAGAGTCAGTCTTTACAGTAATTACGGTTTGAATTAAAAAATTATACACAAAAACAAATGTAGTAGTATTCAAAAGCTCTAAATCGCAAAATGCTCTTTTTGGACAACCCCAGGTTGTTCCAACAACGTATAGAACCCACTCACCCAAGGATCTGTACAAACTTGTACAAGGTACAAAGGTGACAGAATGGGTACTATAAACTAACATGGAGTAAAACACAATAAGCCAATAGGCTACAGTGTTATTCGGAGACATAGTTAGACGAGCCCAGGGAAAAACAAAATTCTCAAATCAATCCCCGTATAATTTGTTATTATTATATAATATTTGCATTTTTACTTTCCTATCTGTATACAGATATAAGGAAAGTATAGGAATCATGATTTTTTTCGACCTCGAGTTTTCGACGGATTTTTACGTTTTGAGGTCCCCTGAATCCGTTTTGACTATTTTCGCGATGATGTCTGTGTGTGTGTGTGTGTGTGTCTGTGTGTCTGTGTGTCTGTGTGTGTGTGTGTGTGTGTGTGTGTGTGTGTGTGTGTGTGTGTGTGTGTGTGTGTGTGTGTGTGTGTGTGTGTGTGTGTGTGTGTGTGTGTGTGTGTGTGTGTGTGTGTGTGTGTGTGTGTGTGTGTGTGTGTGTGTGTGTGTGTGTGTGTGTGTGTGTGTGTGTGTGTGTGTGTGTGTGTGTCTGTATAACGCATAACTCATGAACCGATTGTAGTGCTTCGTA